CACCCACAGCCTTCCCTCCCCCTTGCCAAAAAGAAAAGGTTGGTCTAGTGGTTTTTTTTAATAAATTTGGCACCTTCCTGCCTTCCACTGAATAAACTGGAGATGTTAAAAAAAACCACAAACAGTCATGACAGTCAATACTTCGTGTGGAGCAGTCAGATGGAGTGGTGGGGGGGTGGCCTGGGGGGGAGGAAAGGGTGACCTCACTTTCTGAACGGCAAAGTTTGAGTGGGAGGGTCTCAACACGAAAGGTAAAAAAGGGAACGATGTGAACATGTGAAGGAAGCCAGAGCACTGAGCAGAGCGTCAGTCTGCATCCTGACAGAGGGAGATAAGGTGGCTGGAGAGCCAGCGGTGCTTTCCTGGAATACAATCTCTGTTTGACACTCTCTGCTTAAGCACTGCCCATCTGTATGTTATTGAGCTGGAGCCTCTGGGGAAAAAGAGGAGCCACAGGCACAGAGAGTGAACAAGGGAGGCAGCAAAAGCGCTTTTCTTCCCTTCTTTTCCTTTTTTTTTTCCCTTCTTTTTTTTTTTTCTTCTTTCAAATAAGGATCTGGTTAAACTGCCTTGAAGTGCCACATCTGGAAACCGAACGCTGAAAGAAAGTTAAAATAACTGAGGCACCACTAAGCCAAGGGGGGCTGATTGCAGAAGAGGGTAAACAATTACTGAGACGCTAGAAGACCACTGCTGGATGTAAGGGGAGGAAATGGCTTTGATCTCCGCCTGGCCCCTCGTTTCTCCTATATTATTCTTTTTGAGATGCTTCTCCTCCAGCACAGCCTCGAGTGAGGGAGGCGTTTTTCAGTTTGACATTGAAGGTAGCTCAGCGGTCAGCGCGCAAGAAGCCACTGTTATCAGAGGGCAGCAGCAGGCAGTAGCTACTGGAAGTTGGGTGCCTTTTGCTGAGGTACAGTAACTCCCTTCTCTCTCTAGTGTCTGTGCTTTCCTGCTTTTCATCTATCCGTGTCGAAGCTCCCATCTGGTTAACATTAGCTTAATCGTTCGATCCTTAAAGTGATACCAGAGGATTTTTTGAGGGGGGGGGGACGGGGACGATCTGAGACGTTGCATTTTGGGACTGGAGAGATACAGTTCAGACCTCAAAATGTACACATGCCCTGCCTGCTGTGAGCAGACAGCTGCTGTACTTTGCAGCAAGGCTGGCTTAGCACGTCTCTGACTTTCCTGCCAACATAACTAAACAGGCCTGTCCAAACAGAGCTATTTTACAAGGGTTAATTGTCACAACACTTTTCTGCTTGCCTTGTTGTAGTTCCTGCAATTGTAATTCCCTTAAACTTCCAAAAAGAGTCTTTCTTTTGGTGGCAAACACTGTATTGAAGAAGTTTGTGCTTTTGTCTCTGAATGCCACAATCTGAAGTTCCTTTTCGCGATGAGAGGAGTGATAATATAAATCAAATACGTGTAGGAGACCACCTGCAGAGAAAACACCTGCAGAGATTTTAAGACTTCCAAAAAGTATCAGGTTGGGATTAGTGACAAATGAAATCAGAGACAGCTGAGAAGCAATTTGATGGTGGAAAATTTTCCTGCAACCTCTGTGTTTTGGGATTGGTTGATACTCCTCATCCTAGCAAGACTGCATTGGGAACGAACTACTCAAAAATATAGCTTGAGAAAGCAATAAATTACTCCAGCATTCACTGGGAGCAGGGGACAGTAATGTCTCATGCGTGGGAGACGCAAAGTAGGGGGCGAATTGAGTTACATAAGGTCATGGGAAGGGAAAGAGTAGTTCCTCTAGCATAACATCCAAAAATGAGGTGAGATTAGCACAGCTGTGTCACTATGACAATATCAAGATCTCAATCTCTGATATCGCAAGGCTAATTTTCCCCCTGCACTCCGATTGCCAGAACTAACAGACATGGAAATAAGTGCACAAGCCCTTCAGACAGCCGGTGTTACCACGAGGCTGGGCAGAGCTTGTTCCCCTGCTGCAGTGGCTCCAAGCAGCTGGGCAGCCTCGGGAAAACGCCTGCCCGCCCTGCCAGGGTCTTGGCATGAAACACGACCTGTATGAGAAAACTGGAGGCCAAACTCTGCTCTGCTTGGTGTAGGGGCTCTCGGGAGCCATCTCGGGCTTGGACGGGCTCCATGACGTGGGATGTACAGCTCTTCTCCCCTGGCCTGGGATCAGCCCTGGGAAGATGCATTGCCACCTGTTGCTTGCTTACAACATGGAAAGTCCCTCAATGAAATTCCTGATTTAAGAGCCGGTTAAGTTTTGTAACTGGTTTTCACAGGATAATGGGCACAAGTGATTACTAGCCTTTTGCTGTATGGTTCTGTAATATGCTTGTCTCAAAGACACACTACACATTGTTTTACTTTAATATGTTGGACTTTACCTTGGAAAAGTGCTGTGATACATATTGGACATTACAGAGGAATAACACTTTAGTCTCCTTCACCCACTTCAATCCTCTCTGAAGTTTCATTTGTATAGTTCGACCTAATAGACTCAGTAATTGGTGTTTGCTCCAGCAGTTTACTTCAGCCCCTGCAATGGCAGCATTTAGGCTCTGGATCTCACATTATGAATGCATGATGCTGCTTGCTATCAGCACGCCAAGGCCCTCGGCCACAGGATGCTACGGTTTCATGAGGAAAGAGTCAGGATCTCAGGCTTCTTTGCTAGCTGCAGATTCACCTTACTATTGCATCTCAGGGCTCACCTCCATGGCAATTTCCAAGGAAGCCCAGTGGGATGCTCTTTCGGCATAGGGCTGATGGCTCTGTAACAGTGAGAACCTGCTTACCCCTTGATCGATGTACGTAGTTGCTAACGGGAGCTGGGGAACTGGCTCTATGCCTGAAGGTTGGTGTAGGGGCCAGACAGTGATGGTCTGATAGTCTCTCAGCCAAGGAAGGAACATTTATTTTGGTCCTCAGAGAGCTTCTCCCTGGCACAGCCCATCTCTCCTCACTCAGTCCCCGGAATAGGGTTTATCCCAGCAGATTTGAATTAGCTTCTTTCCAAGCCTGAGTTCTTAACCCGCAGCTCACAGTGAACCATAGAGTAAACTCCCTTACACAGTGCGGTTTGATTCAGCTCCTTCATCTAAATATTGACTCAGGCCTACGGCTCTCCCGAGCAGACAGAGGCTGTTAGCCACGCTGAAAAGTGCCAAATTACACAAAGGGGGCAGATTTACACGGCAGAGTTACAGAGCCACGGATGGGGCTTGGTGGTGGACTGTGGTGCCAGTCAACCACAACGTGAAACGTGCCGCTGTAAAGCCAGAGCACAGGGCAGGGCAGGCAGAAATGATGCTGTTTCAGCATGTGGGGCAGGTGCTGGACAGCATTTTACTGATTCTGCTTTACACAATGCCTTCAGAAATCTGCAAGCAGTCTGAGACTCTGCTGGTGGGAGCTTCCAGCTATAACTGGTGGGATGCTCTTAAATCTTGGTAAGAGTTTGATATTATCAGGCTATAGAAGAACAGGAGACTCCAATCAATGTAAACACATATTAGTGAATTTTTCTCAGTTTTCCATTCCTCTTCCTTTCCCATGTTTGGCAAGCCTAAACTCAGAGTAACTAGAAGTGGTTTAAAAATTCAGAATCAACATTAATGTGGAGCTTTTCTGCGCCTTGGATTTGAATGAAAGCGTCTTGATGGCAGAGAGAAGAGGACTAAATACATTTTCCATGCTATGCTAATATGCAGTACCCACTTACAGAGCAAACCATGGATTTGAGTTGGATCTTAGGCAACATCTAGTATCTCGGTTCCCTAGCTGTTAATCAAGATGTGATCCAGTACACTTAATTTAGGTACATAAACTATGTATGTTTGAATCAAGCACTGTCTTCAAGTATAAACTCAAATTCCCCATAGAGTAATGAAGACACTAGGTTTTTTAAACCTCAAATTCCTAGCGGTCCTCCCTGGAGGCCCTCAAAGGAGCCTCTTCCTCTGTTAGGGCTATGTTGGGTACTCACTTCAGGACAGCTTTGTTAATCAGCTTAAAGGCTGGGGCACAAAATGTAGTTGTTTAAATTAACTGGACTAGATTCCACCCAATGAAATGTCATGTTACCTGCGCAATGAGCACTGGTGGTGACTGTCATGGAATAATGTGTATAGGTCTCTGCCTTTATTTTAAGAAGAATGCTTGTAAATTGATGAAAATTATTCAGAAAAAGTATCTTAAGAAGAATTATAGTGTTAGGAAAAAACTTTGAACTTATTGTGTAAGCACATACACAGACAACAAAAGATTTTGTAGTAAGCTCACTAGTCTAAGAAATAGGTCTTATGGTATGCAGCAAATGGAAACTGAGGGTGATCCAGTTCAGACTACAAGTTAATCACAAGTTTTAATTTTAAAGGTAATTAAGCACTGGAGGATTTATTCAGTTTTGTTGGATTGTCTATCAAGAGGCAGATCAATATGAAAAGCACTCTGACAAGTACTCAGTTGCTTGTGTGTTATTTGAGATGTTTAAGTTCCTCGGCTCATAAACACAATAGAGGGTGTTGGGGAGATGTTACAGTGCCGAATCCTGATATGTATGGGGAGGCAGTGAGATCAGAAAGAAAGTAAGCACGAAGCGCTGGATCAAGCCGATCAGTATAACCCAAATACAATTGGTGGCATTAAGTCAGAGATTGATTTTTCCAAATAAGGATAGATTGAAATATTTTACAAGGAAGATTCATCAGAGATGGAAGCAAAGGATTTAAAACTGACAGATAGATATCAAATGAAAGCAACCAAGCAAGTGGCCAACATCAGAAATATTTGTTTTGGAGTTCCATCCATTAATGTAAATACAGCAGAAGGATAGGGGTTGGTGAGACATGTCCAGTTTTGGTGAGGCACGGAGTTAAAACTGAAAACCAGAAGTAACTTCTGAGAACAGTTATGTCCCACTGACAAACACATGCCTTTAAAATAAGAGGCAGGTCATACATCATCATTTGGGTCTGGAGCCCACCACTGTCAACATTTGCGTTTGTAAATTCCACTAACATGATGCTTTTAATTATATAGGTGTAGATTTTGTTCTCCAGTAGGAAGAAAGTTCCTTAGAGTCTAAGGTGAGAATAAACAATGGCACAAGACTTCAAATATTAGAGTATGGTAAATGATTCCCTGTAATTCACATTGCACAATCACTCACTTCTTTAATGTAAAACGAATGTAAGGTGATATCCAGAAAAAAACTCATTTCATTTTGTTGTAAATAACAACATGAGGTCAAGAAAATAACTAAGAGACTTCAGTACAGGAGATGAGTGTGAGAAGGATTAATGGAAGAAAGGGAAGTCAGACATTCTGTGGGGACACTTGCCAAGTAAGAAAAGATAATTTCAAATGTCCTCTATGGAAAGAAGAAGTGAAACAAATGGTGGGAAAGGAAGCAAACTAAAGCAGGAAAGAGACAAAGAAGATGAAAAAATTAAAGCAAGAATAAGATAATCAAGAGCTCTAAGAGTAAAGCAAAAAAATGAAGTAGTTGGGATAGGGCAGGAAGCCAATTCCCAGAGTGAAGGAAGGCATGATATTGTTGGACAAATGGAAGAGGAAAACTGTTTCCAGCATCAGTGGTTTTGGCTCAGGGGAAAGGCAGAGAGGCAGAAGAAGTCCTTTAAAGGAAACTATTATCATAGTCAAGTCAAAATTCGTCATTTACTATAAGAGAAAATAAGGCAGAAGTTATCTGTTGGAACTAGCATGTTAAAATAACGTATTTGACAATCATTTTTTCCCACTTAACTTCTACCAGCAACTGCTGATCTAAATTTTCAAAAGCAAGAAACAATATTTGAGGTGCTTTCTTTGAGGTTCTCTAAAGTGATAAGCAATAAATAGCATGGGACCTATGACAAACTCACTTCTTTAAAATGGCTCATATTAAATATATAAAAA